GCTTGCTTCTGAATCCCTTGGCTTTAGCTTGCGGTGGTACGTAATACATCATCAGTGAGCCAGCTCTGGATTGAGAATGGCACCTGCATAGTCAATGACACAATTTGGGGAGCTCCTTGTCAGGATTACAACGGTATGTCGATTCCTCTTTACCCGTCTCGATGATGTGAATTTGGCTGATTTAGAAACGCTGAAGATTGTGTACCGGAAACTTGAATTCATTTTAGCAATGGGATTCACATGCGACTTGTTTGACTACTTAATTGGTCAGCTCAAACACGCCTGGCTGCTTTCAACAGCATCAAAGTAAATTTGAGGAAATTAGATTTTTTGGCTTGAATCAATCCATTCGTCCACCTTTTGGCAGTGTTGATTTGCCAAGTCAAGTGGTCACGCCAATGAAACAATTGGATGGTGCAAGACAAATGATATTAACCGCATCTATAATGAAAACGAAGCAGCACGAAGGAAAAGCCCACAGACTCCATTCAAATGGATGCAATAATTGGAATTTCATTCTCCTTCCCTTAACTTGCCTATTACTGATTTTAGGCACTGCTAGCATCACCCTAAACGACGTGAACATGCAAAAAGTATTATGGACGTCTTTGACTTTCAATAGATCCATCTCCGTTGTAACAACGCTTTTTGTGCCATACTGCAACTTCTCACAACCTTCACCAGGTATCAAAGTGATTCTTCTTAAATGACTAATCCCGCTTCAACTTCCTTATGTCGTGGTGTTCTTGAGAGCAGATGAAGTTGACCTGAGGACGTCGTTCCCGCTGTCACGATTTGTCAAAGACCAGCAGTCCTTCTCAGTTGATTTTGCAGTTGGCGGAGCAGAAAGCGACGGCGTGGTGAGTCGTTCCCCCGACCTCTGGCATTTGAGCCTTTCATCTAAGTTGTTTTAGCCTCATTCAAATAAGCCATACAAGGTCTAGCTGTGCTATAAATTTTACAAAGTGCCCATTTCAACAGATATTTTGCCACCTCATACGCCCATGCATGTCGTCAACAGGTTTTACTAGAACGGAATGAAGTGACGATCTGCGAGTGGGAGGGAGTGAAAGTTCACCGCAATAGAAGTACCATTTGCAGTGAGTAAAAACAATTTGGTCTTTAACAACAATTGCGTATATTCTTATTTTACTTGAGGATATTTTTAGCTAATTTACGGCATGAATAGGCTATATACATCCATATTTACTTAGCACGTATCCTCCACTGAGCTCACATTCTCCATTCAAGTCAGTGGTCATTTTACTGTCGTTTGGGGCGCATTCGATAACCCAGTGCTCATTTCTCATTTGTGTAGATGACTTGGTGAAAAATAAAACATCTGACCTGCGAATTTTCCATGCGAATTTCACATTACTACCGAATGTCCAACAGGAAGTACTTATGTGGACAGCGGAAAAGAGCCGTCTGTC